TTGGTATTGATGGAAGTCTCCATCCATGTTGCTTCCATGCCAGATGTGGTCAATTTGCATTGATGTGCCCCTGCAGCCAACAACCATAACATGATTTTGTCAGCATTCAGAGAAGGCACTGGCTGACCCTACTGAATAGCCCTACCCAATGAATGGAAACCATCCAGGTAGCCTTCCAGCACCCTGCTTGTTTTAGACTGTTTTTTAGAACTCTGAGGTCAGCATTGGGTTGGGTTGGATTACTCATACTTTTAGGCCCATGATGGCTGCTGCCAGCAGATTCCTTTCATCGTGCAATGAACACTCCATAGTGGCCACCTTTAGCCTCGTCACTCCTGGCATTGCAGGGCTGTGTCTTGAGTGTCACACTTTTCAGTATCAAGATCAATGCTATCACTAAACAACTTCCTCCTACTATTGCAAATGGCCTCTATGTCAATGACTTTCACATTTCTTGTCAATCGTTGAACACAAGGCTTATTGAATGGCAGCTTCAGACTTCTCTCACTTGCTTGTTGGGGTGGGCCACAGCAAACAGTTTCACTTTCTCTTCTTTTAAAACCGTTTATGTTCCTTTTTGCCTCCAGCAGGGTTTACACCCTGATCCTGAGCTCCGTTTTGGTAGTGTTGTTCTTCCCATGGTTCCTGAGGCAAAGTTTTTGGGGCTCATCTTTGATCGTAAGCTTGCTTTCATTTCTCATATTAAGCAGCTTCATTTCAAGTGTACAAAGGCACTAAACATCCTTTTTGTCTTCTCTTCCACCTCTTGAAAAATTGATAGATGTTCCATGCTCAAGATCCGTCATGTCCTTACATGATCCAAGCTGGACTACGAGTCTCTGGTCTATGGTTCTTCTAGGCTCTCTGCCTTGAATATATTGGACCCTGTTTATCAGCAGGGGCTTTCTGTACTTCACCAGTCCATAGTTTGTACACTGAGTCCTATTCTTCACCTCTGATGTTTGCAACTTTCTTCACAATATGCTACCAAGCTTTAATCTTTACTACAGCATCCCACCTGGGGCTGTGTCTTCCTTCCTTGATGGCTGTGCCCTTTAGGAATAGATGGTCTGCCATTCCTCCTTTTGGCCTTTGTATCCAGGCATAGCTGGCTGAATTGGGTCTGTCATTATATGGTGCTGCTCAGTTTGATGATCCTACCATGGCTCATTACTATCTCCACCCATGACCTATCTTTGAATCTTCTGAGGAAGGTGGATACTCCTGATTGGAAGTATTGGAATCGCTTAATGTAAGTTCTCATCTTGTTCTCCTCAATATTCAGAAATGACTGGTCCACATTCCACTGTCTTCTTTTTCTATCCAGTTTTTCTGAATACTTGACCATGTTGGTATTTGTGGGAATGAGCTTGCTAACACTGCAGCTAAGTCCATCTGCACTGCTGTTGTCACAGCCATGCCCTTCCCCTATATAGACTATGATCCTGTGATCAGGACCTAGCTTTGCACCAGTTGGCAGTCTATTTAGGGTGAACAAATTCATAACAAGCTTTTCCAGATGAAACCTGTGGTTGTTCTTTGGCCATCTAGTTTCCATAAGAATTGGAGGGAGGAAGTTGTCTTGTGTAGGCTATGCATTGATCGCAGTATTTTTTACCCATTGTTTTTTTTTATGTGGCACTGATCTGCCAATGTGTGGGCTCCGTGACACTCAAGTCCCAACTGCCCACATTTTAATTTTTTGCTCTTGTTACGAGTTTCAGTGGCAGCACCATTTAAAACATGCCTTTTCTAAGGGTTTAACTCTGATGTTGGACGGTGTCATTGGTAATGGCGACATTGTCCAACTTGATTGTGTTTTTAGTTTTTTGCAGGCCATTGGTCTTTTTACTTCTATTTAGTTCTTTACCTAATTTTTGGCAGTGTTTAGTTTTAACTTGTTTTTACATTGTATTGTATTTTTTTTATAGCATTTTTATTGGTTCTTTGGCACAGATAGCCTAGTTGCTTTGCATCATAAAACACCTAACAACCATCCAACTCAGTAGGACTGGATACCTCCCCTCAAAGAAAACCTCCCAAGTCTCCCAATGATCATTGATTTATTTCTGAAGACACAATGTCTCACTCTCTGGCAAATCAACTCCTATTGGTGGACTTTAAAGATATCTTGGCTCAGCTATCAGTGTCTACTTTCAGAGTGGCTCTCTAGCCTACCAAGTGACAATTTCAGCATCAGCATGTGCTTGCTGTTTTGCCTGTTTGTGAAACAACTTGGTGGTGGAGCTTATCCACCATTTGAAGCTTTTGTTCTCTAGGTGACATTTGACAAAGGTTTCCATAAAGATTGCCCCACTGGGTATCAGGCTCCCTAGCTTGCTCACTACTTTTCCAATGACCATCTGATGCACTGACTCCATTTTCAAGGCTTAGCCTCAGGGGAAGACCTTTGTAAGGCCCTCTGGTTACTCCAGGTAGCTTTTGTTCCTTAATTCCCTGAAATCTTTCCTGAAAGGGACCTTTGCAGCAATGTGGAAAGTTTCAGATCCAGAAGAGGGCTTCTCCTTGATCAGAACATGCTGTTCAGTTATAAAGTTGCCTCAACCAGTAGATCATTATTCCTCTACACATTCCCATGGTATGGAAAATGACATTTTTGCAATGGGCTTGGTTTGCTTCCTGAATTCTTACTTGCTTGTGATTTTTTCACCTTACCCATGTGTATTTTACACTCATAACCATGAGGTCCTTTGATCACAATAGCAGTTTTTCTCTCTTCTCTTCTACACTGTGGTATCTCTCAGATTTACCAGCAGACTAAAAAGTTAGGACCACTAATAATAGGATGTTCTCACATCTCAGGCTTTGAGATTTATTTCCCTTCAAGTTGCAATAGATCGGTTGTGGAGAAAAAGACAATACTCAAATCAACAAAGAAAATAATACTTAATCATAATTAACAATACACTACTATACAAAACAATTAACAATAGGCCAAGTGATCTGCACATAGTTTAAAATGAAGATTGTAGGACTAACAAGAGCTACAATGAAAGCTTAAATGACAGAAACTGCTCTTGCTAGTGTATGTCATTCCTCTGTAAATTAAACAAGAACAAATAAAAATACCAAAAGAAAACAGCCCCAATTTAAGCTCATTAAAGTTATGGTGCAGCAAAGTTTAAACGACTATGTAAAATCCAAGATTTCACCAAAATGTTTTTTGTTTTTACCTAAGCACAAAGATAGAGAATGGGCTATCTGTGCTGGGCCCCCACAAGTTTTAAAAAACCCATTTCCTAGTAGAGTTTTTCTGCAGACTTACCACTATGCCACTGGGGGCTTCACCAAAATAACATTACTTAGCAAATGACCCTAATTACATATGGAACAAATGCTTCACACTTAATTAATGTGAAGCAATTTAAGACTTATTTTCTTATGGCAAATGTAAACACAACATTGAAGCACCATCAAGAGCTTTACAGCACTTACTCAAAAGTGAAAAAACACCTAAAACGGATCTCTCAAGCTCGAAACATTAACTTAAACATGTCAGCATATGAACATGTTTAGCATATGAAAGATCATAATTGGTTATTGTTACCTCAAATAGCTAACAGGCAGTACAGACTAAGGGTGAGACTTCCCACTGCTATTGCCTGATTCATTGACAAGAACAATTTAACTCATTAATTAAAGGCAACTTTTCCTGTAAGAGACCCAAACAAGTTGTATACAAGGAAAACTCTGCCTGCCACTTAAAGAAAGCTAAATTCATTAACTAACTTGAGTACCTTACTGCCTCTAAAAGGAAAACTATAGTAAACAACATAATTAAAAAAAAAATTGCTTCTTAGCTAAAACTTATTGCAATTCCCAGTACTAAACATTTCAACAATCATTCACTCTTTTTAAATACTTTGAATTATTCAAGAAACAGATGCTTATAATTTTTAACTTTTCTGAACTTTTATAAATTAACTTTTATATTTGAATGATGTAAAAAATCATGCTGTTTTGTTTCTGATTAAGCATTTGTTGTATCATTGTTCACTCGTTGGTGAGTTCTTTTAAATTATCCAATAAAAATAATTCAAAGTCTAGTCCACATGAACTAAAACAAGTTATGTAGTTTATTTCCTCCTTTAATGTTACTACAAGCTTGAACATTTGTACACTGTCATAAATTGTTGTAGGCCTATCTTACAAATGATGCTAACTAACATAAAACTAATCAACTTACTTGTGCAAAGTAACTCAATAGTGCAATAGCAAACATAAATACAAATACTTCATGAAAACACATTGACTTATTCAACTCACTATTTTGAAATAACTACACTCTCTTAACTATATTCTTGACTACATTTCAACCCCACTACTTTTGAAACATCTGTCATAAATTTAGAATCTAGCTTTGAATTTGCCAGTAAATTTGATGTCAACTTAGAATTTTCTAGGCTAATTATGCCCTCTTGCTAATGAACAAATTAAAACAACATATTGTACTTATGAAATGCTTGTGTAGCTATACTGTTTTTTTTTTAGTAAGATTAGAGCATATTACTTGGGAATACTACTTTAGTACTTTGAGTTATTATAAAACAGTGACTTACTGGCAAGTGCTGTTGGGTGAATCCTTTAGCTCAGTTGGTATAGCAGTTCCCTTCTTTTAACACAAATGTATGCACAAAAAATATCTTGCATATTGTAAGATACTATTTTTTATTGTAGATTATTTGTACCACATGTACATGGATTTTCTCTATTTATATTGTACTTGTTTTCTGCTTACAACAAATGTTTCCATATCATGACATCCTACACCCTCTAAAACATTTAAATTAGTATAAATGTATTAAAATAATGATTTAAGTCTCATGTTTGTGGGTTTTTTTAGCTTTTACATGCCCTTCCCAGTGACAGAGCACAGATAGCTCGTTGTGTAACTTTGTACTTTTACATTTATGTTTGAATAAAAAATTAAGAATAGTTAAGCATTTTTTGACACTGGAAGGTATTTTTTGTTTCTATAGAAGATGAAGCCATTAGCATGGATGACACTTCATTAAGCTGGTCAAGGAGCTCTGACCCTATTTTGAAGGACATTAGACTGCATGTAAAGAAAGGACAGTTGGTAGCTGTTGTAGGTCAGGTGGGAACTGGGAAGTCATCTCTGTTGTTAGCCTTGTTGGGAGAGATGTATAAGTTGACAGGATTCATAAACCTGAATGTTAGTAATTATCTGTCTTATATGCAAATTATCAGATTGTGTCCATTAACTTTACATTAGTGATCATTGTTGTCTTCTTTGTAAGAAAAGGTATACATGTACACTGCTAGGATCCATAATCCTTAAGGTTAGTCATAACTGTTGTTTACCTTTGGTAAAGTACACTGCTTGTATGAATGTCAACCTTAGAGTAAGTAATCACTACTTTTGGAAAGTGTAACAACTTGTATGATCCATCAAAACTTATGTTTATGTGTACAATAAAATGTCTTGGGGTATATAAATCATCTTTTGTTAAATTACTTAGGAATCTAAAATATGAATTATTCACATGAAGTTTATTAATTTGTGATTGTTATGATATTCAGTGATTTAGATCATAATAATTATCCCATTTCTTTTAGTAACATGAGTATCAATTTTTGTACTTAACTGTGTTTTGAAAAAATTAAGCATTTTTTATAAAATTGTTTTTAAGTAAAACAATATCTAAACCTGACTTAAAACAAATATTAATTGTTCCATATCTAAGACTAAGAAAGTTAAGTAACTGATGTTTATAATTTATCAAAAATATTTTTTATATCTGTATACATAGAAAAATATTTGTACTGTATAAAACCATTAATTTATCCCTGTTTATGATTTATTTAAAAAGAAATTTTAATACTCTAATACCTAAATAGTTTTCAAAATTTTAATCCTAACTACTTGCTGTAAATATTTTTCTGAACATTAATATTTCCTTTTGTTGATCTTGTTGGGCAAATTATACAAGTTTTCAGGACCAACCAACTGTAAGATTAATCATTATTTTTGTATGCTTTGTTGAGAAAGAATTACAAGCTGTAAGGCTTTAATAGCCTTAACTTCAAGGAAATATTATTCAACACTGCTTTTCCCTAATTGCAAAGTTAACCTTTTCTGTAGTTCTTTGTCCATTTTTAAACTTTTTACAACTTATTTTTGACACAGTTAAAATTAATGTATTTCTTACATAATAGTGATGTTTGTGTTGGGAACAGGTATCATTCACAATGGATTTTCTAATGTTCGTTAATGCATATTTGGCAGGATGCTTCTTCTAAATATTTATTTTTCACTATTTTGTTAATAGTAGCTTAGTTTATGATGCATTTCTTAAGTTCAGTATAACTATTCAGCTGAGCTTGTAAATGTTATAGATTTACATTATTAAAATAGCATACAAATAATAAAAAAAAATTACAAAAATTAAGTATGATGTAAGGATGGCAATGTGAAAAAGTACAGAAACAAGGTAGGAATGAATACACAAAGCCATACAAAAATCACTACAGAAATAGCCAACTCTTTCCAAAAATAGCTTAACTACAACTAAATGTGAATTCCTGTCAGTTGTATGAATTCAGGTTTGAATAAAAGCATTTAAACTGAATAATGCTATATAGTATTACAGTAGCTAATAACCATATGCTTGTAAGATTGGCTACTTATGTAGGGGTTTTTATATGGTTTTGTGTATTCACTTTTGGCATTGCTACCCCTACATCATACTTAATTTTTACAAAAAAAATTTATTACTTGTTTCCCCTTTATTTATTTTTTAACAATTTGCTTGAAATAGGTTGATAAATAAACATTTGTTTTATTTTTACAAGTACCCCAGATTGCGGGATCGGCATTAAAAGGATGTTTATAGAACCCACACCTTCCAGCTTCACCCCAACTCACTGTATGTACAAACAATTGACTCCACCACATGCTAGGGTCATATTGATTAATAGGGAGAACATTATATAGATCCCAGATCATGAAGTATGATACAACGCTTACATGCACAGCTGCCAGGCTTGGCACTACTGTAAATTTGAAGAAAAAGTAGACTGATAAAAACGTACTGTTTTGATAAGTAAGAAATTGGTGTTTTTATACTTGGACACAAATAACATGAACACACATCTGTCAGTTGCATAAATACTTGATCCCCTTGATACTTTTAATATTCATTTAGATTATTCTTTATTTATGTATTTTTACTGAAATTGTTTTGGCAGATATGTTTGTGCAATTAAAAGTATGTCACAACAGTTATTATATAAGAAGTTTTCGCCTTCATCTAGCAACCATTAATGAAACTGTTATTTAGGAAACATGGAAATAATATATGCTTATAAGCTCAGCTCACTGCTAAGTATATAGTAGTTTTCCTTTTTATTATTTCCCCACAAAAATACATGTATTAGAAGAACAGAATAATATTACTGTTATCAAGCTGTGAAATAGTTGATAATGACAATTAGGTGCTCAAATAAGGCTATTATTCAACTTTAGCAGTTATTTGTAAGCATCATAGAGTAATAGATTGAATGCGGTGGCCATTATTTTCTCAGCACATCCCTAAATACTAAGTACTATAGTGCTTAGTGATAGCCTGTTCCCAAGTGCTCTTAAAATGCTTTTCTGTCATACTAAAGCCATTGCGAAAACTTCACACATTTTTGTAGCTAGCATGGGAGAATAAAAAAGAAAGATGAACACTTTGGCTCTTTAGCTGGTTCTCAGTTCACCACTTTAGCAACACTTTTAAATGATACTGGGAGTTCTCACAAGCTGTGAAACACTCAATAATGGGAATTAGGTGCTCAAATAAGGCTATAACTCAACTTTAGCAGTTATTTGTAAGCATTATAGAGTAATACATTGAATGCAGCAGCCTTTTGATTTTCAACCCAGTGATGGGCCAAAAAAAAAGGCTGCTGCATTCAATCAGTACTAAGCACTACCATATATGACATATATACATGCAAATAGTTGTAGATAGAAATTTAGTTGTATTAGTAGAGGCTACAAACATAGTTGTGATTTATTGTAATAAAATGATTTAAACTTATACCTTACTATGTAATATATTAAATGAATAAGTGCTTTTGGTTTTTACATTGGTTACCTGAAATATGCTCAGGATCAGATATCTGATATTGTTTTGTGAAAATACAGAAATTTTGAATTTGTTGATACAGTTTAAGTGTAAGTTTAAAATTCATGTATACACATAGTCACAGCTTCAGTGATCTTTACTATTTTGGGGCTGTATACATGGAAGCTGCTTATTATGTTCATAAATTTTTGCTGTTGACTTGACAGCTTGTGCTGTATTATCTGAATGCTATATTTTGAAGCAAATAATGCCTGAAGGTGAAAAGAAAATGTTTGTTCTGTTAAGTTATTTTTTGAGAAATTCCCTGTAGCAGACCTTTTCTTCTCTAGAGAGAAACATAAAAGTTTTCTATTTGCAAACCTCCAGTACACTGCTAAATATTAAAATTTATGTACTGAACAGCATTTTTTTACACCCATATTCAGTGTTCTGTTCACACTAATATGCTCTCCTGAAAATCTGTTACAGCTGTTGTATACCTTGAAGTTAATTGAAATTAAAATTTTTGTGTTTGGGCTTTTCCTCCAATGCATCTTACAAAAACAATTTCATAAATAACTTATTTTGCTTATTGGGTGACATATATTATGAAGTCATTAAAAGCTTACTTTTAAAATACCAAAAGTGAAAAACTTCAACACACACAGTTCCAAATATTGTATTGGTTTATTTTATAATTCTTCACTACATCTAGCTTGTTTTGTTTTACTTGAATGTTATTGGTATTAGCTGATATTAACTCTTGTTGTAAATAAATGGATCTTATAAATTTGGTAGATTTTGATAGAGACATTTCTTAATTGTATGTCCATATTGTTTTAATTTATTATTCCTGGATATCTCTATAATTACTAAATTAAGAAACTGTTCTTGTGTATGTTGTATTTAAAACTCATTCCCGAAAGTAAGATGATTAGTTCATACTGTTCTAAGTATGTTTTCATATACTACTAAGAAAAAAGATGATGATAGTGATCAATGCGAGTGAAACTGTCAGTGATCATTTTTGTAGTGTATTAGAGACATATTTGGTTCTGTGGTGGTTCGGAGGACTCTGAGGCTGCATTTAAGGGTGAACCTCAACATTTTGAAGAGACTTTAGATTTGCTTTTTCCTGTTGGATTTGTAGTCTCCCTTTGGGACAGCGGTAAGTTTACAGACTCCAAGTGCTGGGGTTTAGGGTTCGATTCCCTAGGGTGGACATGGCAAATGGCTCAAAGTTGCTTTTCTCTAGCAAAACAACTTTACTTCACAAAATTCTGTTCCAATCATGTAATCAACAGTCTTTAAATGACCTATGAAAACTGAAAAGGAGGCCACTTTGGAATAAGCAATCTTTGATTTGTTTTTCTTCTGTTGGTTCTTTGAATATGTAATGGTTTGGGCTTTTCCCAGTTGCTTTTGAGTCTGCACATTACTGAAATGACTGGGAGCAAATTTTTAGTTATATTTCTTCAACACGCATCTTGTGGTTCATGCTGGAAGGTTTCCTTCTCAGTTACGTGAAGTAACAGTTAGGCCTTATCCAACACAATGTTGTAACTTTGTGATTTAGTCTTCCACTGCCACATGGAAACATTTTACGACTCTCAAATAGTACATCTGCTCCACGAATTTTGGAGTTCTAAGACAGACTTTGTTCTAAGGTGACCTGTGTTTGGTTGGTCTGGGGGTGGTGAGAGAGTCATGCTACTTCTTCAGAGTTTATATTTCTGACTGTTGTTGGGCCTATGCAGACAGGAGATTGGTGTCCAATCATCAATCTCTCTTGTCTATATCAATTCCTAGATTCTTCAAAATTTACAAATTACTCATTCCTCAATCTGTGTTAATTTTTCACTGGGATTTTAAGTGTCCAAGTTGGTTGTAGTCGGTTCCTATCTGTGCTTTGCCATAGCAATGGTGTCTTACCACTTTTGGCATTTCTTGTGCACAAGGGTCAGGCACTGTAGTTTTGGGTTTGTATTTTTACGTTTGGACTGGCATAGGCTTCACATGGGTTCTGCCATATTGTACAAGCTTTTTTCTCATCACCTTCATTCCATTTTACTGTTCACACACCATCTATGAATGACTGGTTACTGCTGGCACCATCTCTTCAATTGTCAGAACATCACATCCTGATTCTACTTTCATATTCAACCAAGGCAGGCTTCCTTTTCAGGACTGAGACATCTATTCTTGCTCTAATTCAATATGTCATCAGTCTGGGTATTTTTTATTTTTCATCACGTCTCTCAGTCGGGCTCAACACTATACAATAGGATGCAAAATTCTTACTCACCTCTCCTTCTCCCACTGAGCAGATGGTCCTATCTATTCTGGGAATGTGGACATTACTCGATTCCCTCATGCATTTGGGACAAGAACACAACCAAGCCTTTTATTGGTCTTTATGCAACCAGGAGATCATAAACATTGATTCACTGGTTTCCCCAGTTTCCTTAGTCAGGATCAATCTTTGATCTTGAGGGGTTGTTAAGTCGGGACACTAATACAATATAGGTTCCTCTACTGCCACCTTGTCCATAGTTCCAGCTCTTCATGAAGGCCTTGCTTCAGGGATAGGGTGCATATACCAAACGTCAGGGGTCTATGCATGGACAAAGAGGATTCCCTACACAATGCTTTCCAATGGGCAATGCCTCATGACCTGGGCTTATTAAGGGGTAAATCGTCAAGCTTCACTCTGACAATTCCATGGTGGTGTTTTGTGTTTCTTATCAAGGAGGCACGTGGCCTGGGGATCCTTGTTTTCGAATTTTGGACTTCCATTTTCAGGACCTTTTCTGTCTTATCACCCTGCTATCTTTACATGTTGTATGGGGATGCCTGTCATAGCATGTCAATTGTCTCAATCCGAATGCACTCTCCTGACAGAATACCTGTTGCATCACAAGGTTCTGTTGGATTAGCTTTCATTTTACCACTCTAAATGGTGGGTTGACCTCTCATTGGATCACCCAACTACTAGCAATATAGTTTCCAGTAACTCATCTTCGGGCATTCTGTCAGAACAGGATGGGATTAAAACTCTAAGCATTTGCTCTACTTCCTATGTTACCCATGGTGCTAAGTATGATTAGTTCCAACCCATTGTCAAGCCCCATTCATAGCACCAGATTGGCTGCTACCCACGGGTTTCAGCTTCTGTGGTCCCTTCTGATGTGTCCAACTCTTCCTCTTCTTTTTAGGCTCTCTCTCTCTGTAGAGGCAGCCATGATCTGATATGGAACATCCGGCTATCCAGAAGCTCAAGATTCTGGTACAGACAATATGTTGTCTTTCCTATGACATCAGGGTTTAATTTCAAAGGCTGCTTAGTTCGATGGCACATTTATTGATGGTAATGACTTTCATATCAGCAATGGTGTATTAAGAGTAGGTAGAACCCATTTCAATCAGTAGTGCCAACCATAACTCGTTTTTTGACCTGGCTCTTTGGCAGAGGTTTTTGCATCTTCCACAATCACCTTGTTTATGGCAGCCTTATCGACTACCATTCAGTTATCACAACTACATATTTTTTTAGTCCCCAATTCTCTCCATATTTCCCAAGTTGCTTTGGGTACTTGGTCCCAAATGACTATTCCAGATAACTACCAGGTATATTACAGTTACATTATGCATTTTGTCTCCATACCTGTATGCTATGTATCCCCTTTAACTGCAGGTTTATTTTTTATGGCTGCTGACCTACGGACATCACCAGTTGGAGTGATTAGCATTGTTTGTCCACAGACTACTTTCTCATTCTCTTTGTCCTTAGACCAGTTCTTCTTATTCAACACACTGTCAGACAGAAAAGGGGTTCAGTCCATTTCTCTTATTCATCTGCTCACTCTTTCTTTCTGTTTCCAATCGGATTTCAACCTTGGTCACGTTCAGTGAGGATCTTGAAGGTCTTATAACCTGCACTAATACCTTTAGAGACACAAGACAACAGTTTTTATTCTAGGCTCTCTTTGAAGGTGAGGAATCTTCTGTGAATCATGTTTAATCAGATTTGTCACATTTCTATGTTGTTAGTGGTTCTGTCGATTTGCTCGCTGGAGGTCATGGTGTGGACTGGTATGTGAATTTCCCCCAATACCTTTATCTCACTTTATTTGCATGATCTGGCCATCTCTCCATCTGAGGGTTTTTGTCTACCCCCTGTCTCTATCTTCACCATTTCTGCTACACTATCCAGAGTGGTGAGTATTTTTATTTCTAAATTTCAGTGTCCCTTACCTTTTTTTCATGGGATCGGACTCTGTGGTGACTGTTACCCTGACAGGTGTGCTTTTATCAAACCAACTGAATATACTCTGTATATGTTGCAACAGGCTCTGTGAAAATGAGGTGTTCCATAAGACCACCTAGGAGCTGACCAGGTGGTATTATTGTTCTATGATGGACCACTACTCATGTACTATCATCAGTTAAGTATAAAAGGATCCTGCCCATATTGAATAAGTTGATGTTGGTTTGCTTTTAAAACTTTAGAAAACTTCTTTCACCTGTTGCACTGTTTCCAGAGCACTGTTCCTCAGGACTCGCCAGTGTGCATTATTCTCCAAGATTGTACTAGTGGAGATAGGGAGTCCTTACTACACCCAGTTTCCAGTCACTGGAGTGGTGGACAAAGGTTTTTCCTCTAGAGTGTTAAAGTGAATTCTTCCACTCTTGGAGCAGAGGGCAAAGTTGGAGGCACTCCTACCTGGGTCCCTGGATATTTTTCTCAGATGTCGGTAGGTGTGGCACCAGCCTACGCAGAAGCCTACTTGTAATATCATTTCAGATTTGATGGTCGGCTATCTGGTTGGGGTGTGCATGACCCTTCTTTTTGGTCAATATTGGGTCAGTATATTGTTCTTGGAAGGATGTCTACTATCTCCTTGTAATTCCGAATGCAGAGTGGTCTCATTCTGGGTCCTTGGTTGAGCACAGTTGTTTCAAGTGGAATGTACCTTGCCCGCTTGGTTGGGGAGTGAAGATGTTGTTCATAATTCCAGATTGGATGAGTTCTGTTCCTTTGTTTGCTAAGGCATACATGATCCCCCTCATTCTGAGCCTGGGGTGTTGCATTTCGAGCTTCTTCAGTTGGAAGAGAAGGTCTGTCCACTTCCATGTTGCTTACTTTCTTGTCATGATTTATTGGTTTGGAATGTATCACTCTGTGGCTTCAGGATGGGATCCACTCACTAATATAGTATTATCTATCACATTGAGGTCCAATTGCCCTAGCACCAATGTGTGATATAGGAACCAAGACCCCTTAATTCCAACCCCGAGTAGTAGAATCTCGGCTATCTGTTTACAGGAACAAAGTTCAGGGTGAACAGCATACCTGTTCTGGATGTAGTGCGGTTCCCCCACTAGGGTGCCAATCTTCTATTGGCACACACATGATCTATGCAGATGCTTTCTGTATGAATAATGCCCTCACCGGCCCCTCCACCTTATCAATGTGGGATTCTAGCTATAAGTGTCAGCAGAGGTAAGTATGTTTTGGAAGTTAACATTTTTCTAAATTGAAAATGTATTTCCAATAATACTTACCTCACCTAACATTCTCCTGCCCTTCCTCCCCACTAAGAGCCAGTGTTAGAGACTAAGATGGTGTCAGTGTCGAAAAAGATAAAATTATCTGAATGAGGTGCTTGTATATACAGTACCACAATAGATGGCACATTGACAGAGGTGGAGAATATCATGAGATAAATATCACAAAGGGCAGTTGAGTGGGGTATAAAAAACTGGAGCAAATGGGAAAAAAATCAGACCAATGCTTAGATGGGCAAAGAAGAAACCCTGGAGGTCGAGTAATAGCTGTAAATGTGAGTAGAGGTAAGTATTATTGGAGATACATTTTCAATTTAGGAAAATCTTAACTTTTATCCTCTTTTATATTTGCAGTTTCCTCTTTTATGTTTACTTGATTAGAATAAATTGAGTGAAAGAGAGAAAATTTGATCAGTGATTTGGTCAAATACATATTAATGTTGAATTTGAAATCTCTTATTTCTATTATTTTTAGCAGAATGTACTCAAATTTTCTATACAAAGTCATATAATATTATCAAGCCAAAATATTGGATAATTTATCTTTCTTTCATATACATAGTTTTTTATTTTCTCCGGTGTATAATTTCATATAGATGTGTTGAATAAATTTGAGATTTTTATGTGTGTGTGCAGTAGTGTTTTCCTAATTTTAGGGATCTGTTGCATATGTTCCTCAGCAAGCATGGATACAGAATTGTACTGTTAGGCAAAACATACTTTTAAAATCTTCCTTGAACAACAAATGTTATCAGGAGTTGTTAGATGCCTGCTCTCTAAGGTCAGATTTATCCATGCTACCTGGTGGTGACCTAACAGAAATTGGAGAAAAGGTAACAGGCTGTATTTGAGATTTGTTGATTTTTATGGTAAAATATTAACTCAATATCCCAACGAAAAATAAGTTATTGTTTCAGGAATAGCAGTAAAACAGCCAATCTTAGTGTGGAAGGTCATAATGTTAAAAAAATATGCTTTTTTTTTCCCATTTTATTCATTTTTCAAAATTAGCTCAGTATTCAGCTTATTTAATTTTCTTGAACGTATACTTATTTTCTTATTATTGTTCTTGCCACTTTTTCATAAGTGCTTTTTAATTTGTATGTGTCTGTTAGATTTTCAAAAAATATTGAAAAAAGAATAAAATATTTTTTAATACTTCAGCAAATAGTTCTTCTCTATAATCTAGGGAGTAAATCTAAGTGGAGGACAGAAGCAGAGAATCAGCCTGGCCCGTGCTGTATACCAAAACACAGATGTTTATCTATTAGATGATCCTTTAAGTGCTGTAGATTCCCATGTTGCTAAACACATCTTCAGACATGTTATTGGACCTAAAGGGCTGCTACAACAAAAGGTAAGTTATGTGTGTTTTTTTAGGAATATTCTACATATTATATATTATGTTTATTTGGTTTTTAACATTTCCAGGCAAAGCTACGCACAGAAGAAATTCTTGGCAATCACTAGTTTTCAACTGATAGATTATGTGGAATGTGTTTACAGTTATTCAACAACATCCACTGCCAACTCTTGTCTTACTGAATAATGGAATTTGACAATTTCTATTATAGAGCACCCATGGCCCCAAAGTGTGGAGTTCATTATTAAAATGATGGGACACAAACCATGAACTCTCAGATAGCATTCTCGGCTTGCCTACCTGTAGGATGTGCCCAGTATTTTCAATATGAGTAATGCAGAAGAAAATAAATTCCTAAACTGAGACAGTATCTGTTCACCAAACTATCAAAAGTAAAGTTTAAGTCACTAGATACCATATTACAAAAGATAAAACCATAAAGAAATTTATCAATAAAGTATTAACAAAGTAAAAATATGAATATAATTATATTGTCAGCATTTCAGTTCAAAATGTTTTTTTATGTACAAACTGCTGATCATTACTATCTTACAGACTCGACTTCTAGTCACTCACAACTTGTCAGTGCTACCAGAAGTAGATCACATAGTGGTTATGAGAGATGGCAGTGTTGAAGAATCAGGCAGCTATGATGAGCTTATGAAGAAGAAAGGTGTGTTTGCAGAGTTGGTAGTCCAGAACCTGGCCAATGATGAACAAAAGGAATCTATATTTGAAGATAAAGAAACAAGGTAGCTAATAGTGAGAAATGTGACAAGTATATTGTGTCATTAAAAATAGTAAAATCTGAGTTTTTAGTGAATTTGGTAAATTTTGATAAAATGAGTATGCTGAAATCTATTAAGAATCAGTAAAATAAAAATGGAATTCAATTAAGTAGCTGAACAGTGTAGTTTAGTCATGAAAATAGTGACTATTTTAATGTTGATATTCAGAATGGAGAAATTAAAACAGTGAAATCAGTTTCAAAGATGAAGGTAACTTAGATTATTTGTGTAAGTGATGTTAACTAGCTAACTATTTAAAAATATATGGAGAATAACAGTTGCAATCAATTAATTAATAAGTATAATTTTTAAAATACTTGAGCATACGGAATATATTTAGCTCCTACTATAGAAAGTTAGTCGAGAAAGCATTCATTTCTTCCCATGGAACTGGGTCAGTCAATTAGGGCATCATGCGTGCTCTCTCTTGGAAAGGATTAATATAATGTAGTGCATTCTCTATAGAAAGCACTGGTGATATTTTCTATTGGCAATACAAATGATGCGCCAGGAATATAACAGCCCTTTTAATTAAGTGAGAGTGATTTTAAGACACATGGATGGTGTGTATGTCATAGGCAAACTGGCTTTATTGTTCTATATATAGTGCCAGGTTTTCTGTCTGTAACAGTTTGGTACAAAAATAGGTAGCTGAATAGCTGAACAGAAATAGAAGAAGAATAGAGATAAGAGTAAATTGAAGAGTTTTCAACATTTATTCTAGAGATTTTAAACAACTTGATAAAGACTTATAACTTGATGGAACTTTAACTCTTAACTTTGAGATCTTAGAATACACCTTTTTCCCCAGTAAAACCATACATTTACAAGCAGGTGAAAGTGGCAAACTGTGTGGCAGTTTTGAGATTCCACAGGCAGGGAGGTATACTACCACAGTGACCACAGTTTTAGGAGAATTCTAGAGAAATGGAGAACTGATAGGTGAGCTTTAACAGGTAACTTGCCATTCTGTGATCTGGAAGCAGGAATCTAACAGTCATCTGAGAGCATGGGTTCATACATCAGCCCACTATCCCCAGCAGTAAGAATGGTCAGGCTTAGAGTTCAAAGGAGAGAGACGCACCTCAAGATCAAGGTTACTGGCAAGAGAGGTGAAGCAGATCCACTGCAACATTTAAGGGAATAGTAGTGCAGGATGTTGACCACTTCAATGGGCAATTTGGGTAAATCACTGCCTGAAATGGATGGACTCAGGAACAGACAATGCCTGACCCCAAGCTTAGATGGTCCAGCCCTTACACCATCAATCACTTAAGCCAGGTGCAGCTATGGGACTGGAATACAGTTATTGACAAGTTGTGTCATTGGTTCATCTTAATGGAAAACTGAGCTGTACATTGAGCCGGGTTTGAGGTATGAAGAAGGGATTGGATGGTCTAGCCCTTGACATCTTCAAGTACTTCAGTGAGGTGCAGTTATGGGACTGGAATATGGTCATGAAGAAGTTGTGCTTGTGATTCATTCCAGTGGTAACTGAGCTCACATTAAGCCAAGTTCAAGGCTTGAAAAGGGTGTCCCTCTGAGTATACTGATGCCTATGCTGATGACCTACATGGGAAAGGTTACCCATCACTGGACTCCATAAATCACAAAGACATCCTTGTCAATGTATTCATAGATGGAATAATTAGTGAGATGATGCAGAAACATTTGGGAATGAGAGATATTCTCAATCACCCTCAGTGAGGCAGTGTCTGTAGCTTTGAGGCTCAAACTAATAACTTTGAATAGGTCACAGGAAAGGAAAAGCCTACAGCAGTAATTGCATTGGTTTTACATAAGATTAACAATCTTCTCTATTGGGAGCCATGCATTGAGCTCAATCTCCACCAAGAAAAAACCTGCCACTAACACTTCCCTGCACTTTAGCACAGCTGCACAGTTTCCCAGATGCTTGTATTGATGATGTCTCCACCTGCCATTGCACTAGAAGGAAGAGCTGAAGTGCACAGTTTAGTCTAAGTAGTAGGGTTACTTTAGCATGAACTGCTCATATCTTGCCAATCAGAAAGATATTTGAAGCAATCAGACTTATATCAACTGCACAACAGATGCAGATGGACTGGCAATGAGCTGTAGCTGCTGCTTTTTCCACTCCATAAAACTAGTGGATTCTGTGCCAAGATTATCCAAGAAGTTAAATAAGTGCAGCAGACAGTTTGTGCAGGGCTTGGTGGAGCTTGGTACATGCTTATAAGATTGCTAGGACATACAATGGAGTTCCTTGTTAATACAGGAGCAGCTAGAATGCTGGTAGGTATTGCCATGTATCAGGCACACTGAGTGAAACCACCATTTTGGCCGGTGAACACTGACTTCTGTTGAATGGTGACAGGTTAGATGTAATTTGAGAAGCATGTCTCTAACTGCATCTAGGTCATGTGAATCACAGTATTAAGGTAGTCATTACTGACCTAGGTTCTGGCATAGAATTCTTGAAATTGATATACTGTGAAAGTTGGAAATCAGATTTGCCTGTCCAACAGCAGTACTGTGCTTCTGTAGGAGAACCATCCAGTGCCAGTCAAAATGTACCCCAAAACAGTGAACAGCATGGATAGAATAAGTGTACATCACAGTGAGAGTCATAATACCTCCATGGTCACATGTCATGTTTCATGGTTTACTACTGACAAAGTTGAGCACATTGATGCCATGTAATGTGGCCAATGAGCCAACACGGGAAGCACTGTTTCTGGCCTGGCATGGCATAGTGGTTATGGAACTCAAATCACAATCTGATAGTCATGGGTTCAAATCCCATCCCTGAAAATGGTCACCCTTTCAGCTATGAGGTGTTATAATGTGACAGTCAATCCCACCATTCATAAAAGAGTAGTCTAAGAGTAGGCAGTACTTGATATTGGCTAGCTGCCTTCACTCTAGTTTATCTCTTCAAAATTAGGGATCATTAGTGCAGATAGCCCTCAAGCAGCTTTGTGCAAAATTCAAAATGAACGGACAAAAATGACGTTTCTTGACCAGAAAGCAAGCAGCTTTAGTATGAACAGTGATCTGTCTGGAGAGGGATGAATTTATGCAATTCTGCAATTATGGGCAGTCATCTATGCATCGTCCCATTGTAATAATTATCTGAATAGCAAGCAAAGTGGAGATGATAATGCTAGAGTCATGTCTGTTGCACAGCATCTGAAAGAAAGTACTTGGCTGCCATTGCATCTGAGGTCACTGTTTGAGAATTGCATAGGCAATCTTGACTCAGTGCAATGACCTTTTGGGGAAATATGATAATGTATTTGTGGGACCAGATGGCCAATTGGATCAAACAGAAATCACTCACCACCACATTGATACATATGATGCATGTCCAATTAAACAACTGCCACATAGGCTAGTGCTGAGATACAGTATATTTTAAATGATGGAATCATACAGCCTTCTGAGAATGTGTAGTTATCACGAGTAGTGATTGTTATAAAGGAGAGCATGTTCAGGTTCTCTGGTAAGTTTTGATGAGTGAATGCCATGATGTGTCTTGATGCCTTCTAATTACCATAGACAGGTACTATTGAGTAAAGCAAGGCAAGAGAATATTTTTCTAAAAAACGTTCAATATGGGGTGGCACATGTTCTTTTTGCCCCCCATTCCCAGTTAGGCACCTATGAAAATGCCTGTATGCAATGGAAGATGTCCAGTGGTTCAACACTTTACACCTTGTTTCTGGATACTGGTAAGTTCAGCTGCATGATGAGAGCAGAGCCAAAACTACTAGCACTCAGGATGATCTGTATGAGTTCAGAGTCATGTCATTCAGTCTGTATAATGTTTCATATTTGAGAGGATATATGAACTTATTCTTAAGGGACTATAATGAGAGAGATGTTGCATCCATGTGAATGATGTTTTGGTGTTTAGCCATACATTTGAGTCTGCTGCCATGAACCTAACCATGTATCAGAATGGCAGGATTGAAGTTGAAACCATAAAAGTGTGTACTGATGTGTACACAGGAAACATTTCCTGGTCCCCTTTGTGTAAAAGAAACTATTTGATGAACCCAGTGAAGATTGTAGTGGTTTAAGACTGGACTCAATCTGTAACAAAGTGAGAGGTATGAAGTTTTTTGGGCTTTGCTTCATATTATCGACACTACAAGGCCAATTTCTCCAAAATCACAATACCAATCACTTCTCTTACTAAAGCCAATATGCTTTTGAGACAGACTGGGGAATGTGAGCAAACATTCCTGTTCCTAAAATATGATTCATATCCAAGACAGCTCTGTGAATTCTTGTTGTACACTGACATAAATAATAATAATAGAATTGAAGCAGTGCTACCATAGTTGAATAATGGAACACAGCATGTATTAGCATATGTGAGCCATACACTCATGGCTTCTGAACACTGAAACTGTGCAAAGAAGAAATAAATGCTTGCAATTGAAGTTTTTGTGAAGCACTTTTGACATTACCTATAAGGCAGAAAGTTTATACTTTGGGTGTACTATGCTTCATTGAAATGGGTCATGAACTTTAAGAATCTGGAAGGGATGATAGCACATTTGATCACAATGTTGCAGGAGTATGACATAGTCATATGGCATCATCCAGGAATATAACATTGAAACACTAATAAACTGTTTTGATACACAGTGAGGCCATGACTAACACACTAGGAGCTTCACTGAGAACAAATGAGAGACTCTGAACTAACATAACCAGTTGATATTGAGGAATAGTGCAGATGCATGCATTTTGTGACACTTATATGAGCAATTATAAGTGCAGGAAGGTATGCTGTACCATATCTATCAATCACTGGGTTGCATCTTAGTGGTTCCTAAAATTCCGAGGCAGCATATTTATCACAATTTGCATAAAACAAGAACTGGAGGCCACAAAGGTGTAGCATGAACTTGTGCTAACATGTAATGGTGGTTCTATTGGTCACAGTTAAAATGAGATGTCAACTTTCTGTA